GCTGATGTGGGAGGACCCTGGGCCTGTCCCCAGCCCCTTCGTCCTGGCCATTTGGTGGGTGGTGGGGCTGGAGGAGGGACAGGAGCTGCACTCCGTCTGCCCCTATAGTACACTGTCCTTGTCTGGCTTACAGACTGGCCACGCTTCATTGGTGGGGGAGATCCCTTTCATTCTTGCTGTGTACAAATAGGGCCAGGGAGACATCTTAGAAATGCTAAATATGACTGGAAAATTAAAGGTATACAAAAGCCCACCTCAGTTTATGTACTAGTTCTGTTCCATTTTATTACAGTGTCAGAGAGCTTAAAAAAATTGAAACACTGAAAAGAAGAAAAACTGGTTTAATATGGGAAGTACTTCATATGTTTTCAAGTATATGCATAACGAATGTGTTAAATATAACTTATGTTTTCATGGATTTCAATTAGACATGCATATAACAAAGTCTTTAAGTATTTTTTTAAAAAAGAATATGCTATCAGTAAATAAATACATACAAGTACAATGAGTGCATAAATAAAAATGATTAATCCTCATCTACTTTATTAATATTAATCTTGAGTAAATATTATTAGAGTAGCACTGTGTTAGTTTAACGAGGACTTTGGCTGGAATTGTGCAAACTTTTGTTGCCATTTGTATGTATTTGACTTTGCACTCACTAATAGGGCAAGTGAATTAACCAAGTCTCAGTTTTCTCCACTACCAAGTGAGATAAATAATCCTCACTTTACCGAATTGGTAAAAGGATTAAATGGGATTTCTCAGGAAGTGCCCACTGTAGCACCTGGCATAAACAAGTTGCTTAATAAGTGGTAGCTGTTTTTATTACTTTTATTATTAGCAGTTGATTTAGAGATAATTAAAATGCTAATGGTACTTAAATGTCCACACTACAAAACTCAACTTCCAACATCTTTTTTTTCTGAAGAGGTTTAGGTGAGTAGATTACATAATTGATCCTTGCCATTGTTTAAAGTCACATTTAGAATCCAGTTCAGGCAGGGATGGTAGCTTCTATTTTTAAGTCCCATTTTGATCATGCTCTAAAATTTAATGGTAAAGAGAACGAAAATGTAATTTAAAGAGAAAAGCATTATGTTCTCAGCAAAAGATTGAAAACAAAATAAAGGCTTTTCAGTTTGTATTGTTTTTATTCTCTTTCTTAAGTTTACTGCACCACCTCAAGGACTAAAATCTGTCAGATTTTGTTAGCCAGCTAGTTCTACTCCAAGAATCACCCTGTGCCAAATTCTTAGCAGAATACGTAGCAAAGATTGCTTACCGTTGTCAGAAACCCACTTGCTTCTCAGGCATTATCCGCCTAAAGGAGGTGGCTGAATGGACACCTCCTCCTTTGATCAGATCTGACTGCTAGTCAGTCACTTTCTGAGCTTCTGGGGATGTTGGTGCACAAGACTCTGTTATGGCAGTGCTCCTCCAGCCTTATTAGTTATACCTGACCTAGGGATCTCGTTTATTCAGTGATTCTGAGTCAGTAGGTTTGGGCTGGACCCACAGTAAGCATTTCTAACAAGACTTGTAGAGGAGGCCAGTGCTACTACCCTTGGGGTAGCCAGGCATTATAAGAAGGAATTTTGTCCTGAAAGTCAAAGGCTTTGATCCTTTTTTGGCCTTACCCTAAGTCACATGCAACTCAGCTTTGATTTTCCCTCCCTAGTGTTCCTACTTATGAAAGATGCTCTTAGAAAAAACTCTTTTGGAAGGGAGGGGCTTAGTGAGGAAGTGACAGGAAGTGAGGAAGAGGTCGTCTTTGTTAATGAATGTCAGGATTGGCTCTTGGAGGCTTTTGGACAAAACCCACTTCTCTCTATCGAAGACATTTAGAAACACTTAGCCCCTTTGGAGGATTCATTCTTATTCCACTTGAGTGTTATTTCTAAGTGTTAATTTAATTTTATTTTTTTTGAAGAAGTTTTTTGCTATAGGACGTGTGCACTCACCAGAAAGACAGGGACAGAAAGAGAGACAGAAAGCGAGAAATAACCCCCTGGGGGGATGGCCACACCGCAATCCCTTCTCCTCCATTCTTCTCTTGGGCTCTTGGGCACGTATGCATATGCACCGAGCGTGAATTTAAGCCACTAAGTCTGGGACTTGAACCACTGTTGACTACAGGGGAGTCCAGCGACATAGCCATTACACTAACTGCTGGTCCTATTTATTCATTTCTACTGCTCTAGGTTCCAGAGAACCTTTGGTTTTTCTGCCAGGTTTTGTTTTTTTTTCTCTCTCTCTTCCTCTCTAGCACCTTCTGACAACCTGATCCTTCACCTTTCGGTTCCAGTTGCCTTAATAAATATCTAAATATCAACAAGGTGGCTTTTATCATCAAATACAGAAAATATCTATGTTCACTTACATCTGGAGTTTCAGGAGCCTGTTCCAAAAACTCTTCCAGGTGTTTTCTTAAGATAAGCAAGAGATAAAGCAGGTGGCCAAGTGTTTTAAAGAGTACCAACTGGAATTGATTATTATTTGCCTGTTGGCATGAGGATGGTTGACTTACTCATTAGGCACTGTACCTTGATTCTATGAAAATATTTTAATTTCTTTTACATACCAAAGAAAAAATCTTGGGTTCAAGAAAAAATTTTAATTACAATATTAATGTATTCATATTTATGCTAATACATTTGTAAAATACAATTTTAAATATATGTATTTTTAGAGTAAAAATATTTTTCAGTTTGAAATGATTTCTGGTTTACAAGTAAGCATTGTGCAACTTTGTGGAATACAGTATGGTTTTTCAAAGCATGAGTATAGTGTGTAATCAAATCAAGGATATATACGTACTCATTGTCTTTAACATTGAACATGACACAATGTACACATTAATAGTTATACTAGCTTTTTTTTGAAGTATATATTGAATTGTCAGTGACATGCTTACTCAGCTGTAAAATACTCTATAACCTATTCCACTTGTTTACATGCATTCTTGTGTCTGTTGCTCATTTTCTTCCAAACACCACGTCCACAATATTGTCTTGTGTCTTTGTCAAAAATCAGTAGGCTGTATGTTGAGTTTATTTCTGGATTTTTCTGTCTGTTCTCTTCCTTTTGTCTGTGTGTCTGTTGATGTGCCAGTATCATGCTATTTTGATTATTACAGTTTTGTAATGTGTTTTGAAATCAGGTTGTGAAAGGCCTTCAATTTTATTCTTTTTGCACATATTGCTTTGGTGATATGGGGTCTTTTATGATTCCAGACAAATTTTTGAATTTCTTTTTTTATTTCTGTGAAGAATGTCACTGGCATTTTGATTGGAATTGCATTAAATTTGTAGGAAACTTTGGATAATAATGACATTTTAACTGCGTTGCCTGGCATGAGTTTCATACCTCCAAGTGTGGGGCTCAAACTGCATGGCCATGTGGGAGTCCGGCACTTTAACCAGTATGCCATCTTCTGGCCCCTGGACCTGGGCTTTTCTTTGTTGGGAGTCTATTACTGATTAAATCTTTGATCTATTCAGACTTTCTTTCTTATTCAATCTAGGTATATGAGAAATTTGTCTATCTCTTCCAGGCTTCCTAAATTGCAGGTGTATTGTTGCTCATAGTATACCCTGATGATCTTTTGTATTTTTAAATGTCTGTTGTTATATCCCATTTTTTCACTTCTAATTTTACTTATCCTAGTCCTCTGTTTTTCCTGGTTATTCTAATGCATAGTTTATTGATTTTATCTTCTCAAAAAATAGCTTTTTTCTTCTATTAGTTTTTTTTATTATTTTATTAATTTATTTTTCTTCTGTTACTTTTTTTTTGTATTGCTTATGTCTCTGTTTCATTTACTTCTGCTCTGATCTTTACTGTTTCTTCTCTTCTATTACTTTTGGGTTTCATTTGTTCTTCCATTTCCTTGAGATACACTGTTAGGTTGTTTATTTGTCATCTTTTTAATTTTTGTCTTGTGAGCACTAATTGCTTTCCTCTCAATAGTGCTTTTACTTTGATTTGAGAATGTCATATTTTTGTTATCTTTAGTTTCAGTATATTTTTAAATTTCACTGTAATTTCTTCAGTAGTTGTATAATTGTTCAGAAACATGTTTGATTTCCATGTAGCGGTATGTTTCTAAAAGTTATTTTTGTTGAGTTAAAGTTTAATTATGTTGTGGTAAAAGAAAATGCTAGATGTTATTTCTAATCTTTTAAATCTGTAGTGGCTTGTTTTATGTTCTACTTCATGGTCAACATTAGAGAAGATGTATGTATGACTGACAAAAAAATGCACATTCTGTATGTGTTAGGCAAAATGTTATAAAAATATCTGTCAGATCTATTTGGTTATAGTATCATTTAACTGTAGCACCTCTGTTTATTTTTGGTCTAGATGACCTATCCAATGATGAGAGTGAAGTGTAGAAATCTTCAACTATTATCATGTTAGAGTTTATCCCTTCAGGTCTTGCAGTCTTTGTGTCTTGGGTGCTCTGATGTTGGGTGTGTAAATACTTAAAATTGTTATAGCTTCTTGGTGAGTTGATCCCTTTAGTACTATTTTTTTAATTAATTTTTTTTATTATTATTTTTTTAACTTGACCAGAGAGAGACAGAGAGAGAGAGAGAGAGAGAGAGAAAGAAAGAAGGGGAAAGTGAGAAAGCAAGCCGCTAGGTCCAGGACTTGAACCACAGTCAGCCATGTGGGAGTCCAGCACTTTAACCACCATGCCACCTGCTGGCCCCTCCTTTAGTACTATTAATTACCTCCTTTGTCTATTTTTATAGATTGAAGTTCATTATGTCTGATATTAGGATTGCTACACCAGCTTTCATTTTTAGTTTTCATTTACAAGAAATGACTTTATTTCCAACTTGTTACTGTCAAACTATGAGATGTTTTTTATGAACAACCATATAGAGGTGCTCCTGTTTTTTTTTTTAAATCCATTTAGCCAGTCTATATCTTTTGATTGGGGAGTTTAATCCATTTACATTCAATAATATTATTGATATGTACAAATTTACATCTGCCATTTTTTGGTTGGTTCTTGGTTGTTTGAATTTTCTTCTTTTTCCTTCTGTTGTTTATTTTTGCTGTTTGGAAGATTTCCATAATGGTAGAAAATAAAACATTTCTATTTATTTTTTATGCAGTTGTTCTACTGGTGAATTTTATTTCTTCACATAAGTTCATGATGATATTTATCTTTCTTTAATTTCCAGATGTAATACTCCCTTAAGTTTTGAAAAACCAGTCTAGTACTCGTGAATTACTTCAGGTTTTGTTTATCTGGGTTGGAGTTATATGTATATATATGTGTGTGTGTGTGTGTGTGTGTGTGTGTACATATTTGATCATTTCTTTCATGAGAGAGACAGAAAGAGTTAGAGAAGGAGGAAGAGAGAAAGATTAGCACCCTCAGCAAGGTCTCATGCAAGGATACCGCCTCAGCCTTTTGGCCAGCTGGGATGACAGGAACACACTAGCATATGCAGTGTGTACAGTTGACCCAGGAACCAACCCCCAATGGTCCCTATGGCTCCCAGCATTACAGAACATTGTGCTACCTCTATGCCACCATAGCTGGGCCTGAGTATCTTTTTTATGGAGAAAGAGCTCCAGGAAGACAAATGAGTTTCAGGGCCTATTCAGGTTACTTGGAGGGCTGTGCTTCTGAGAGAACTCTGACTGGGTTCTAAAACTGGGCTAAGTTCTAGGAAATTTGAGTATTCATTTCTGAGAAGGTAGAAGGGCCTAAAGTAGTATAGAACACATTCTCTGCTGTAGGGGGAAATTCAGACCTGTACCTAGAACTCAGATATCTTATTGTCAGCTAGAGCACATTAATGATACAAATCTTTTATTTTTTTCCTATTCTTTTTATCATAAAATATTTTACTAATTTATGTTGGGAGTGGTGCAGAGACTATATTTGAATGTAACCCAACATTTTTCTCATGATATTTTTGCTATTTGGGATGATACCTTTATCAAAATACAAAAACTAAGAGAAAATAATAATAATAATAATAATAATAAATAAGTATAAACTACTTCTTAGCACTCTGGCTTATTACATAGTGTTTTTCTCTTTTTCCCATGCAGAAAACACTGAAGAACATGAAGACTTATGCAAGGCTCTTTGCTTAATTAAAGACATGATTGCAGCAGTGGATTTAAAAGTCAATGAATATGAGAAAAACCAAAAATGGCTAGAGATTCTAAATAAGATTGAAAACAAAACATACACAAAGCTCAAGAATGGCCATGTGTTTCGGAAGCAGGCACTGATAAGTAAAGAAAGGACCCTCTTATACGATGGTCTTGTTTACTGGAAAACTGCTACTGGCCGTTTCAAAGGTACTGTGACTCTCTCTACTAGAATAATTTCTCTCTTTATATATGTATTCATTCAACAGGGGAGATTATTTTTTAAAATATTCAGAATTGCAGGTATACTCACAGAAAGCCTGAGTCAGTTGATTAAGTTGTAAACTTCGATAGGCCAAAGTGGCCAGTGAGAGAATTTTTGGTGGGAGTTTGCTGCTCCAAGCAAAAGCCTTCATGGATATTTTGTAAATTTGCAAGTGTGCAGAGTTTGAAATCAAAGGAACTAAGAGTTCTGCTAGTCATTGGCATGGAAATATTACCTGGCAAATGTGGTGTGATGAAATGAGTTGAGGCAGTTCACCAGCCAGCCTCAGGTCTGTTGCATGCCTAGCCAGCTAGGGCTGTCAGACAATCTGGGGGAGAAATGAAAAGAACTCAGTGTCCTCTTCATTACTGAGTAATTTGACATATTCAAATACAAAGGTTCTTCAAAAAATTCTTGGGAAATGTGTATCATGAAAAATATATACATAGATTTCAAGATTTTTGTGCACCAAATTAAACTCGTATTTTAATTCCCCTTGTCCGTGAACTTTTTTAAGTCCCTGTGTGCATACTAAAAGTAGTTAGCTTTTACTCGATGTTCCTGTTTGCTAACCGTCATTAACTTCACTCTCTTGATTTGATTAGAGTTTATAGCAGTGTATTCTGATATTCTGAATTTTTCCCCATAGGGTGCTTGCACTCACATGAGAGATGGAGAAAGAGAAAGTGAGAAATCACCCTCAGTGGGAATGGCCACGCTGCAATCTTTTCTCCTCTTGGGATTTTTGGGCATGCATGCACATATTCCTTTTTAAGCTGCCAGGTATGGGTCTTGAACCATAGTTGGCCATGTGGGAATCCAGCACCTTAACTTCCATGCCACCTGATTGGTCCTGGTCCCTATTCTGATTTTTTTTTTTATGAGAGTTTTTTGCTATAGGGCGCATGCACTTGCCAGAAAGAGAGAGACAGAGAGACAGAAAGCGATAAATCATCCCCAGAGGGGGCATTGGCCATGCTGCAATCCTTTCTCTTCTTAGGATCATGGGCACACACATACACATGCACCTGGTGTGAGCTTAAGCCATCAGGTCTGGGACTTGAACCACGGTCGACTACATGGGAGTCCAGTGACAAATTTTTCCCCATAGGGTGCTTGCACTCACATGAGAGATGGAGAAAGAGAAAGTGAGAAATCACCCTCAGTGGGAATGGCCACGCTGCAATCTTTTCTCCTCTTGGGATTTTTGGGCATGCATGCACATATTCCTTTTTAAGCTGCCAGGTATGGGTCTTGAACCATAGTTGGCCATGTGGGAATCCAGCACCTTAACTTCCATGCCACCTGATTGGTCCTGGTCCCTATTCTGATTTTTTTTTTTATGAGAGTTTTTTGCTATAGGGCGCATGCACTTGCCAGAAAGAGAGAGACAGAGAGACAGAAAGCGATAAATCATCCCCAGAGGGGGCATTGGCCATGCTGCAATCCTTTCTCTTCTTAGGATCATGGGCACACACATACACATGCACCTGGTGTGAGCTTAAGCCATCAGGTCTGGGACTTGAACCACGGTCGACTACATGGGAGTCCAGTGACATAGTCATTACGCCAACTGCTGGTCCCCTCATTCTGATTCTTAATGGCTGATTATATAGCTAGCACAGCATCTGACCCAGGGTCTCTCACCCTTACTACACGCTTGAATTGCCTTTAAAAAAATTACTGATGCTCAAGTCCCCACCCCAGAGATTCTGATTTTATTGTTCTGGGGAAAAAAATCCAAGCTCAAGAGATACCTACAAGTTCCCAGGAATAGGTAGCCCCAAAGCCTAGTGGTTATGGAAGTCAGATCCTACATGGCTGACCATAAAATTTGAATCCTGCCCTTAGTGGCTTGAAAAATACACCAAGAGCAAGTGTGTGTGCGTGCCCATGGTCCCTAATGGATGGAGAAATGGAGAAGTATTGCATCATGGCCACACCCATTGGTGCTTTCTCTCTCTCCCTCTTTATCTCTTTGTCTCTCTCTAGTGAGCTCGTACACCCTGGCAATTAAAAAAGTAATAAACAAAGAAATGTTCCCAGGATACTCTATCATGCCAGGGCTAAGAACCATGGGACTGATCTCCTTGTTTTTAAATACTCATCTTTACTTACTTAGGCAAGCAATATAAGGGAGAAGTGGTTGCATTTTAGTTACCCAAAGGTTATTACACCTTGATTACATCTTTCATTGTTGTTTTTGCCATAGAACAGGTGATCTCTCCAGAGAGATAAAGATAGATAGTGAGAGGAGTGGACCAAGGTGGGTGGCCACTCTGCAGATGATTAAGCTTTGATGGAAGTAACAATTAATGTCTGAAATGGGATTTGTTGATCTTGAATGTTGTATTGAAATTATATTAACCACAATCTGTAGATCCTACTTCTCCAAGTCATTCGCTTTCATCCATTAATAGAATCAACAGTTTGCAACTTTGTGTTAGACTGTTTAGTGTTATAGAGGATAAAATTTTGTGAACAATTTGTAACAGAAGGATTGACTCTCAAATAACACTGAGGTTCAGATTAAACAAAATAGGTTTCCATATCTTATTCAAGGTGGAAACTGCCATCTTCCCCCAAAAGGTAAGGGTTTGCTCTGTCAAAACATTTTTTATTAGATATTTTTCTTCCACCATGAAAGCTACAACATTAAAATTTGCTGGGGATTTAGCTCTACTTACAGTCATATACACAAACATGCACCCTTAAACAGAGCTTTTTACCATTTACTATAATTATATTATTGTGTTTACTATAACTATATTACTACCATCTACTATAATTATTTATAGACTGTGTCTTTGGCTACCCTAATGTAAGTGTTTTTATACGAGTTTTCTAATTATATAGACTGAACCTAAAACTTGTTGTTTTTATAAATTTATTTAAATTTCAAACATTAGATCAGAATATTTGATAAAGGCATTTGAACCGTGGTTTGCCTTATTAATGCTAAGAATGTTTTTTCTTTGAAGATGTCCTAGCTTTACTTCTAAGTGATGTGCTGCTCTTTTTACAAGAAAAAGACCAGAAATACATCTTTGCAGCTGTCGTAAGTATTGGTCTGGAATATAAGTATATGGCTATGGTGATATAGATCTTAACAGTTCTGATCCCACATTCCCTTGAAAGTATTTGGAAATTCTAGTGAAATAAAATAATCATGAGCAAGAATATGCTAGTTATATTTCCATTATTTCTAGTGATTGCAGTGCTCAGTAACAAACATCTAATTGTATTGATTTATCACAACCAGGGCTGATAATCAGCTGTCATGAAAGTATTGAAGTACTTTGGCACTGCTTAGTGAATAGGTGCTGCCCTGAGCTCCTAGCTACCTTCTGCTGTAGCTGTCCTCTACTCTGTCCTTTCCTCTTTTTCTCTCCCTTCCAGCAACTAAAATGTTAGTGCTGGGCACAGCAGATCACATCCTGCACCTTCTGTGTGATTAAATGTATTACAGGGTGTTGTTAACATCTTGAGAACTGAAGCATTAGCTGGGTACACAAAAGTCTGGATTTCCTAGTTGTTACCCTGGTAATGGAGAATGTTTTCTCTATGCTAGTACCCACAGGTGTCTCCACTCTTTGTGCCCTTTAGGAAAAAAAGACTTCTTTTTTCTTTTTTAATTAATTAATTAATGTGTTTTCTGAAACTTAAAAATAAATTAACTGATTTACATTCATTCCCTGAGCATTGTCACAGTGTACAAAATGTGATTTCCCATCCAGAATATACTTCATAGTGGCTTAATCAAACATGTTATTGTCACTAATTTTCCATTTCTAGTATCATATATATATTTTTTTTCTCATCCTCTGCCATTTCCCACCCCCTCCCACACTATTGCAGGTGTCTACAGTTGTTTTCCACTCCCCCCCCATTTTATTGATTCGCAAAATTTCTTAAATAATCTAACTACTTTCAATAGCAAGTTCAGCTGGTATTTACATATCTGTGAATGCATGTCTGACTTTAGGCGTGAAACTCTGAGTAGAATGAATAAGGCAGCACCTAGCTGAGGCTATATAGCTTACTGCGGTCATTAAATAGGTATTTTTTCATGTATTTTTTTAATTTCAAGAAAAGCAGTTTTAGCTTTAATAAATCAAAGGAATGCTAAGGAACTTTGCTTAAAACTTAAAGCCAGGAAACAGGTTAGGATTCTATTTAAATAGTAGGTACATGGACCTATTGGTAGCTCAAGACAGGACAAAAATCCTTAAAACCGGAAAACAAAGCCTAGAAGGAAGGCAGCAATGTTTTAGTCAAAAGTCATAAAATGCTATTTCACCAGTTCAGTCTCATGTACTTAATCTATCTTCTGTTCTGGTTTGATGTTCTTGATTAAATTTTGGGATATAATATTCAACTCCAGGCTTGTCACTACAATTAAGTTGGCCATTTTCTCAGTTTTTGAACTCTTATTTCTGTGTGTCTGCATTTAATTTTCCTGGTATAGCACTCCCTTGAAAACTTCTTAGAGATCTGGTCTGGTGTTGGTAAATTCTTTCAGGTTTTGTTTATCTGAGAATGTTCTTGTCTTTTCTTCCCATATGAAGGATAATTTTGCTGGGTACAGTATTCGTGGTTAAAATTGCTTCTCTCTTAACACTTTGAATGTATTTTCCCATTCTTTCCTCCCTCACATTTTCTGATGAGAGGTCTGCTGTAAGCCTGATGGGCTATCCTTTGTAGGTAACTTGACATTTCTCCCTTGCCAATCTCAGTATCTTGTCTTTGTCAGTGGTTTTGGTCAATCTGGCTATAATGTGTCTTGGAGAAGATCTTCTTGGGTTGCTTTTTTTTTTTTTTTCCCCTCCCTCTTTTTTTTTTTTTTTTTTTTTTTTGGCAATTTTCTCAGTCTTTGTGGTGAATTTTTCTAGGCCAGTGACTCTTTTACGTCTGAGATTTGATTTTCTGTATGATCTAGTCTGCTTTTACTACTTTCAAGGGAGATTTTGACTTCTTGTATTATAGCTTTCATCTCTAACAGGTCCATTTGATTCTTTTTTATAGTGTCTATTTCCTCTTTTAGAACTTGCAAGAATTTCCTTACCTCCTGAAACTCGTGGGGTCCTTTCTCCTGCCTCTTCTGCAGTTCATTGTCTCTCTTCTCTTCCATCTCTGTTAGCTTTGTCACTATGAATATTCAAAATTCTTTATCAGACATTTCTGAGTTTCATTGTACTGTCTGAGGATGAAGAGGAGCTATTTATTTCCTTAGAGGAGAAGTATTTTCTTGCTTTCCCATATTTCTTGTGACCCTGTGGTGATCTCTAGTCATCTGATGGATGGTGAGGTAGAAATGATTCTGGAGGGGGACGTCTCAGCAGAAAATCCTCATTTTTGGTCAGGGAAAGCAATATTTCACAGCTCAAATTCAGCATCCATGTCAGGATAAAAGACTTCTTTAGTAGATGTTTATCTTGTTACATGTTACGAAGATAATGAACTGAAATAATAACCAGAGGATAAGCCACTGAAAGCAGCAAAGGGGTGGAGTAGCAGCCTCTGGTAGTGAAAGAGTTTTGTTTTCAAAGAGGATTCAGCTGGAAGTGAGGGTAGGACACAAACCTATAAAATTTATAGGAAAAAGGAATTGTATTTACCAACTCCTAGACTACCGAGTCCAGGAGGAATCTCTCGAATAACAGAGAAGGAAATTTCACCATGAACAAACAATACAGAAGACAAAGTAAGCATATATACCTACAAGTTCAAGTTCAAAACATGAAACAAATCCCTAAGATTTTTTAATCACAATGGAATCCTCACTAAGAGAATCAGCACAAAATAGGTACAGTATAACAGTGATGCAGAGCAGCCCCTTTGCCGTCTTCCCCCATCAGAGGTCTTCACCTCCAGGTGCCTATAGTGATTGTCAGGCATGTAAATGAGCAAGTGCGGTGGGTCTGCACCACAGAAACAGAGAGGCAGAGACTGTAGTGAACCTGGGAGTCCGTGCCCTGCCTCAAAAAGGGAAGGGATGGCTCAGCCATAGCCGGTGCTATTATTTGTCTTAATTAATAATTTTCTATTAATAATAATAATGATGAAATCAGGGTAGTTGGTAAAACCATCATCTCGATCATTTGTAACATTATTTGCAGTGAGTTGGTGCTAGCCACATTCGGTATTTTTTTTAAGAATTATTTTATTTAACTTTATTTATTTATTTACTTATATTTTTTAATTTGACCAGAGAGAGGGACAAAGTGAGAGAAAGAGAGAAAGTGAGAAAGCAAGCTGCCAGGTCCAGGACTTGAACTGCAGTTGACCATGTGGGAGTCCAGTGCCCTTAATCACCACGCCAACTGCTGGCCCCCACATTCTGCATTTTATAACACTAAACATGACCCCTCTACTTCTCTATCTACAATTTTGTTTCTATTAATCAACATCCCTTTATCTCTCCTATCCTTTCCAGTATCCAGTAGTCATTCTACATCTCTCTGCTTCTTGAATTTAGCTGGTGGTTTTAAACGAACACGTGGGCTCAGGAGTGTCAGTCTTCTATTTTCTCCCCAAGAACTAGAAACCTAGAATTTTTAAGTGGAAACCCCAAGTTGTTTAGTGTTTAAAAGACTTTGTTTTTAAATGCTTGGCACAAACGAGACATCTCTGCAGGCTGGGTTAGGCGTTTGCATTGCCAGTGTTTGGCATCTGTCTACAAAACAAGGTGTTACCTCCATTTCTGGAGATTTAATAAGGATTCTTGGTCATTTCTAGCGTGATTTGTGTGAGTAATGTGAGTATGTTTCTGATGTGTTCTGGTGAATTTAATGAATACTACTCTATACTCCTTTAGCTAGTGTTCATTTTTTTTCTCTCTTTCTTTTTCTCTTTCTTTTTCTCTCTGTCTCTCTCTCTCTTTCTTCTCTCTCTCTTTTTATTCTTTTAAATTTTGCCATAGGGCATGTGTGCCTATGAGAGAGAGAGAAAGAGAGAGAGAGTACCTCGGGGGGAGGGGGTATCTATGTCATCAGCCTTTCTCCTTCATTCTCCCATCAGAATTTCAGGTACACATGCACACTTGCTGTTTTTTCAAGCTGCTGGATCTGGAATTTGAACTGTGCAGTCAGCTATGTGGGATCCAACTGCCTTAACCACATGCCACTGGCTGGCCCTCTATTCTTCATTTTTAATAGTTCTTACTCCACCCCCTCCACTCTCTTCAGAATACCAATAACTGGCTCAAATACTTTAATTCTTGATCCTATCATCTGAAGTTCAAACCTACTCTGCCTTTGGGTTTGGTTTTGTTTTGATTAATTTATTTTTATTGCCAGAGGGTATGCATACTTATAAGAAAGTGAGAGGGAGAGAGAATAAGAAAAAGTACCCACCCTGCAATGGGCTATGGTCCCATAGTGATCTTTTCCTCCCTTTCTCCTTCCTGTCAGGATTTTGGGCATGCATGCTTATGTACCTGGCATGTTTTTGAAGCCACATTTTGACTGTGATCAACCTTGTAGAATCTGACTCCCTTAACTTCTGTGCTTTGGAGATGGTCCTGATTTCTTATATACAGAGGCTATTGTATGTACCTGGTATACTGCACATTGAATCAAAGAAAACAGACAATGTCTTGGATAGTAGACCCACAACAGAAAAAGCAATATTAGCAATGCTTGGAGGATCTCCCTAGGGATGGCAGTATTGTAGAATTCAATAAAGCTCTGCCACAAAACTGCCTTCATGTCCATTTTCAGAGGCAGATCATGGGACTGGGTAGACCAGTGGTCTGTCCTATTATGATTTTTTTTTTTCTCACACTACCCTAAGAAGAGTAGGGTGAAGAGGTCCCCGAGGGACACCTGGCCCACAACTTCAGATGAGAGCAAGTTGTGTAATGTTGGGAAAGCAGATGAGCCTGCCCCAAGGAGTCAGCAGTCAACAGAGTGGCATGTTCTGGGTAAAGGCGTCACTCAGTCCATAAGGGAGGTGCAAAACCACACACAACAGCTGACTCTGTAAACAATATGGAAGCCACAAACCAAAAACGAGTCTTCATATTTACCCCCAACTCTCCATTTTGTAGGCATTCTTTTGGCCGGTCTTTCAACTGTAATTACTTACCAAAGTCAGTCTTACTAGGGTCTTATTCATCTTTGAATGTCCAGTTTTAGACTGGGGCATGAAAGAATCACAGTAAATGCTGATAGAAGAGGTGATTTAATTGTAGGCTGGGCGCCAGATTTTAGACTTTTTCCCTCTGGTGGAATTATGCTAAGTCCAGTCCTACAGACATTCAAGAAATGCCTACTCTAGGCAAGACAGCGTGCTAGGCATATGGGGCGAGTTAGACCCATTCCTGTCCACCAAGGGCTCATCTAGTTGGTGTGGAGGGACATTTACAGGTAGAAGAGTAGAAGGTCTGTGGCTGTGATGGTGATGGCCACAGAAGAGGCAATTTTGCCAGGAAAATAGAAGATCTTGCCACCCTGTTCTCACATTTCATTTTTACAGCCCTTCCTTGGTTACTGGGATTCTGTTCCCATCACCTTATTGAAACAGTGTTGCTATTAACTGCCAAGATTCATGGATATTTCTGGTCTTTCAGCCTTCTTAATCTCTTTGTAGTATTCAGTATACTGTTTCCTGTCTTATGTCCTCCTAGAAAAATCCCTTCTCCCTTGACTATGGCATTTTGATATATATTCTTTTCCTGACCTGATTATTCTATCTTTTGAAAAGTTGTCTTTAAAACCACTCATTTTCCATCCTCTCTGTTAGAAGTCCTGTCATCTTCTGCAGCTCTTTTGTAAAAGTTGGATGTGAGATAGAGGTTTATCTAGGACTTCTACTTTTCATAGCTCATGTCTTTCATGTGGCGCTTACTATAGATAGGACACTGTTTCATCTGCACATCTTCCTGTGTTATGTAGGATCAGAAGCCATCCGTGATTTCCCTTCAAAAGCTTATTGCCAGAGAAGTTGCTAATGAGGAGAGAGGCATGTTTCTGATCAGTGCTTCCTCTGCCGGTCCCGAGATGTATGAGATTCACACCAATTCCAAGGAGGAACGAAATAACTGGATGAGGCGGATCCAGCAGGCTGTAGAAAGGTAACACTCTTTTCTGTCCATAATCTATAGAACGGACTTTTCAAGTGGGGAAAAGATTCTAACTGTATCTCCCCTGCATGAAAACTTCACCTCAGCCACAATGGTCTGTTCCCTGCCCCTGCACCTGCCTGTGATCACCCTGAATCTGCATCCTGTCCTCTGCACCTCCCTGCATGCACTGCCCTCGCCAGCCCTCTGCCTGTGTGCGTCCTGCCGGGTGCAGCCTCAGCCCCCTCGTGAGGACCTCTTCAACCCCAGTGATCTCTTCTTTACCTGACATTCGCTAGTGCCTGTTCTCTAATGTATCTGTTTGATGCTTGTCATATGCTGCCTCGTACCTGTTATCTTCCTGTTATGTGCATGTGTTTCTTTAATTAGATTGGAAGCTCCTTGAGGGCAAGGACTTGTCTTACATTTCTCTGTGTACTTAGTATTGAGGAATGATTTAATAAACATTTCTCGTGTGGTGGATCTAAGTGTTTAAAGTCAATTTATTCTCAATTACTTACGCAAGGACAGTTTTTATCATGTGGGTGCACAGTTAGGGGTATTCATTCTTAACAGTAATTTGATTCTGAAGTTATATGAAACTCTTTCATTTCCACTGTATGTGACCCAATCTGGCTATACTTCTACCCCTTTCAACCTTTCTACTCTATCTCCATTAATAATAAAAGTGCCCAAATGTAGTAAAAAGTAAAAATCATTTTAGTTATACCTTATGCCACCATTGGTATTGTGATGTGTGTGTGTGTGTGTGTGTGTGTGTGTGTGTGTGTGTGTGTATGTCTGAGCCACCCTATACTTCAGATTTTGAGAGCAATGTTATTTTATGCAAGGTAAGTTCCCTTATATACCCAGGAAGACTCCATCTCTGGGTCAGAAGGCATGCTCTGCATGCTAAAATTTTCTTGTTTATCATGATTCTATTACCAAGTGTCCATGTTTTTTCTGAACCTAGAGATACTTGGGTTTGGTTTTCAGTAGTCTTTCTTGACTGTTGTCTTTTAAAGTTGCCCAGAAGAAGAAGGGGGAAGGACAAGTGAATCTGATGAAGAGAGACGGAAAGCTGAAGCCAGAGTGGCCAAAATTCAACAATGTCAAGGTACGGTGAAGGCACTTTTGGCTTTCTGATTATGGCATTCTCCTTAGGTACTGGGAAGGTCTGGTGTCATGAACACAAGGTCATGACTAAAGCATGAATTCTGTGCACCTGAGCTCCACCCAACCACCCTCCAAATAATACAAAATGAAACCTACTAGCATTAAAAATGCTCAAATAGAATGACTCTCTTCCCTTCTCCCTTAGTGATTTAAATAGAAAAATGTGTATGACATACATAAAATAAAGGTTATAGGCAGGGTGGTACAGATGATCACCGGAACTGCTATCTTATGGTTTGATTTTAGGTCTTAGCACTGTCATGTCATAGTTGTCTGGCTTTGGACAAACCCAGTAAATCCAGCCCTCAGTTTCCAAATCTGTGAAGTAAGGAAATTAGATTAGCTTTGTGACTGTCAACTGTGACTTGACTTAGAATCACTTAATGAGGCAGGGTGCAGGTCTTTAAAAATACTGACGCCTGGGCCCCACCCTCAACCAGTAGAATCAGAATCTGTGGGAGATGGACTTTGGTATTTTAAACTCTCCTCAGGTGATTCTGAGACACAGAGAAAATTGAGACTGTTTGGATTAGTACTAGTTGAGATTCCTTTGGGCTTTAAGAATTCTGCAGTATTGGGACCAGCAGTTAGCGTAATGGCTGTGTCACTGGACTCCCATGTAGTTAACCACGGTTCAAGTCCCGGACCCGGCGGCTTAAACTCGCGCTGGGCACGTGTGCGTGTGTGCCCAAGATCCCGAGAGGAGAATGGAGGAGAAGGGATTGCGGCATGGCCATCCCCCCTGGGGGGTGATTTCTTGCTTTCTCTCTGTCTCTCTCTGTCTTTCTAGCACGTGCATGCGCCCTATAGCAAAAACCTCTCCAAAAAAAGAAAAAGAAAAAAAAAAAAGGAATTCTGCAGTATGTTGAAATTAGACAAAAATGATGCATGCAAAGATGGTAAAAAAAAATAAAATAGATGTTTAGAAACAAAAACATAAACCATTATGCTTGGGTTTGACCAAAATGGCTGAAGCTGAGTAGCTTCAGGCCTTTGCCTTGATTTCCCTTGTGGGTATTCACTCATCGTGGACAGTGATGCCTCAGTTTTCATTCCTGAGCTTAACATTTAGACTTAATAGAAAACAGCTTGAATAAACAAACAATAGCTTTGCACGTTTTCCTGGAATTAGGCGAATGGGAAAGAAAAGGAACATTCGACTGTCTTATTTACAGAAAAGACAAAGGAAACAGAGTTAAATACGTTGCAGGAGGCCATAGTCACTAAGTGGAATAGTCAGGATTTGAACCTGGGTCAATCCCATTCAGAAACGTGTGCCTCACCTTTTAGATCAGACTGCTTACTAATTAGCCACATCTTCTTGTAACTTAGGTGGGCATAGTAATGTATTCATGTTAGCGATAACCTTCTAAAGTAAATATTATTTTGTAGAAATACTTAGTAACCAAGACCAACAAATTTGTACATATTTGGAGGAGAAGTTGCATATCTATGCTGAACTTGGGGAACTGAGTGGATTTGAAGATGTCCGTCTGGAACCCCACCTTCTCATTAAACCTGACCCAGGAGAGCCTCCCCAGGCAGCCTCTTTACTGGCAGCAGCACTGAAAGAAGGTCAGTTGCTTTGAAAGAATTTGATTTGACAAGTTCAGGAAATGTTTATTAAGCATCTATTATGTGCCAGGTGTTGTGATCTTGGTGCTGAGGATATAGCAGAACAAGACAAAGTCCTTACACTCCTGGAACTTGTATTCTAGAAATAGCAAAATTATAAGACATAAATATGTCAGTTTGTGTCAAGTACTCTGAAGGAAAATATCTGCAAGGTAGGCAGAGTGATGGAGCTGGTTCTGTTTGAAATAGGATGGACTGGGAAGAATCTTCTTTGGTGTAATGATATGTAAGCAGACATGAAGGAAGTGAGAAAGCCAGGAAGATATCTGGGAGAAGAGTGTTCTAGATGTAGGGAATAGCAGGTGCAAAGGTCCTGAGGTAGGTGAGTGATGGGCGTGTTTGAGGAACAGTGAGGAGAAAGACAGTACAGATAGAACGGAGTGAGGGTTGGGGTAGAGAATGAGAAGAGAGAAGTCAAAAGTAACTAGGTCTCAGATTATGTGCACTGAAGTAAAGACTCTGAACTTCATTCTGAGTGAGATAGAAAGCATTATAGAGTTTGCATGGATTTGTGTTTTTAAAGGAACCCTCTGACTGCTGTGTGGAAAATAGACTGTAAGGGATGAAGTGTGGATGTTGTTAACAAAGTCTGTGTAACAACGGGAAGAAGGGTGGAGGATGAGATCACTGGAGATGAGAAAGTCAGGAGGTGTGAGGTCAGGATAGTGGAAAGACTGTTCATAGAATCAAAATTGCAGTGGGTTTATTCTTTATATTGAGCTTATTCTTTTTATGGTTTAACTATGTCCCCCCAAGTTTCATGAGTTGAAATTCATCTGTAATGGTATTAAGAAGTTGGAAACTTAATCCATCTGTGGATTTAAGAGGGAGAATCTTTGGGAAGTGATTAGGATTAGGTAAGGTCATTAGGGTGGGGGCATCATGACTAAATACTACTGGGTTTAAAGGAAGAGGAAAAAAGACCAGAACTGCCCCAACAGACACAGACACACAATTTCTTGCTCTCTTGATCTCTCTGAGGCTCTGTACCACCTTGGGACTCTGAAGGGGGTCCCCATCAATAAGAAGACCCTTACCAGGTGCAGCCCTTGGCCTTTGACATCCAAAGCCATCAGCCTAAATAAAGTTTTATTCTTTATAAATTACCCAGTCCGTGGTATTCGGTTATTAAGCAACAGAGAATGGACAAAAACATTTCATTATCATGAAATGATGCTAAAAGTATTGATCTGGATTGCAAGATCTCAAACTTTTTCTGAAAAAGGTCAGATAATAAGTATTTTAGACTTTTCAGGTCACAGTCTCTGGGATATATTTATGTATATGCAAGTATGTGTACTTTAGCAACCCTTTAAAAATGTAAAACCCATTTTTAGCTCCTGGGACATATAAAAACAAGCACAGAACAAATGCAATTTGCCAACTTCTGGTCTATATTAAATTATATATGTAAGTTAGTTTCTAAAATTTGTTTTTGTTTGCCTATTTCTTCTTAGCCGAGAGCCTACAAGTGGCAGTGAAGGCCTCACAGGTGGGAGATGTAGGTCAATCATCTGAGGATGGTTGTGGAGAACCTGTCTTGGTGGACACAGCCCGTTCTCATGATGCACCAGGATCACCTACTGCTTGTAAGTGAAAAGGCGGGCCTTGGCAGTTGGCTTCAGCACAATTCCAAAGCATATAGTGACCACTATAGTGAAGGTGACAACTCTGTCCTATTTAGTGGGGACTTGAGGTATTTTTCTATGTAGGAAAAAACCTGAGGATAAATACATATTATACAGGAATAGTAATGACACTGGTGTTCTAAGGACAAGGACTTAAAGAGTAGTTGTAGTTGTACTGCTCAGTTTCCCAGCCATGCTTTGTATCTTCCCCAAAACCTACCTTGCCTCATTTTTTATATTATTTATTTAATATACTCTTGAGAGAAATTTTTGGATTTTTTAAAATGATCTCTGCAGTCCATTAGAGAATAAATCCTTAAACAGAAAACATAACTTAGAAACTAGAGCCGCTCCCCGTCTCATACACTCACCACACCCACTCCCCAACACACATGGTTTGGTGGTATGTTAAAGGCAGAAGTGCCAAAAGGTTCTTGATGTATGTCATCCTATGCTTTAGTCCAGGTCAGAATTCATTTATTAAAACACTGTTTCAGTTTTAAATATGGAAATATAAAATGTAGAGAATTGATTTATTAGGTAATTTCTCAGGACCTATGTATACTGTTGTACATTTAATTGTAAGTGAAATACTTCATTGCAAAAGGCAAAAGTTTCTGAGATAAGCACATAAATAATATATTTTGCATCTTGTACAGGTGGTAAAAACATTACTTCCACACCATCCTACATGCATAAGATAAAATGTCTTTATTTGCTAGAGATTGGAGGATTAAATTGTCTGAGAATTTCTTTAACAACTTTCCTTGGTTAATTAAGATATGTAGAAGCAGTATAGTTTTTTTAGTGCTATACATTTTTTATTTCACCAGCACCAATAATTATTTTCCCCTCTCTGGTGCTGCTTTATCTAATCCTGGCTTTCTATTTTCAGAACATGCACATATGTTTTTCATTTTGACACAGCCCAGATTCATCAGGGGAGTTGTACTGCCCTGGGTGATTTCCTTTTTAAAGAAGAATCTCATTATGCCATTGAGGAAGTTCTATCTAAAAATATATGTAGGGATCTGCCGCTCTGAGCCTCAGCCCAGGGACAGCTGGGGAGGCTCCACTCCACTCCTGCAGCTGCCAGACCACATGGTCTACCTTCCCTCCTTCAGGACTGGCAGCAGAAGTCCTCCCTGTCTGTATCCGCATCTCCCCAGACGTGGGGGAGTTCCAAGGGGACACCTGTGACATTTGCTAGAATCATTGACATACGCTTTATAGAGTGGTCTGAAATCAGGATTCAGATAGAGGAGGGATTCAAGGCAGGTTAGGGGGTCCTGTACCCCAAAGGCTGGTTCAGTTCTGGGCTGGATTGGAATATGGTGCTATAAGAGACCAGTTCTCTTTATCAATTTAAGGGCAAATGATTATTCATAAATGAAGGACTATAACTGAATGGGTCAGTTCTGTGATTGACTCTAAAGACTTGGGTCCTTCTAAACCAGGTTCCTGTCAGCGTGAGGTTCTAAACCAAGCACAGCCCTCCATTGTTAGTCCTCAACATACCTAGTTGGGTGGATGAGTGTAACTCACTTCCTGTGACATTCTAAAGACCCTCTGGCCCACCTTGAAAGTGAACACACGGACAAGAACCTGATCTATGTTCTGTTTTTCTGCCTTCATTTGGCATGTCATCTGCTTTTCACTCCATTTGGTTGTCCTCATTTCTATGAAGACCTGGGGTGAAGAAACAGAATGACTGATTCTTTGGTAATGCCTTTGGCATGTCTTTAAGAGTTAGGGATAGTACCCATGGGGGAACAATTTTTTGAATGAGAAAAATCTCCACAAAATGTCTCTTTATTATAAGTGAATAAGCATTGACCAGGTTGGACAACATGAACTTAGTTTTTTAGCTGGTATTATTTGAAGCAGTTTCCATTTTTAAGAATTCCTTGTATTACAAGAGGCCTTTGGAGTCCTAGAGGACTCTCATTTTCAAAAGATGTAAGTATCATTAATTTAAACAAAAAAGGAAGAAAAGCATTTCCTTCCTCAGAAATAAAATGTCAAGGTGATACCAAATAAAAATTGTATAAACAATGTTACACGGTGAATCTATTTTGTCAGGGTCCTGATAAGATATGTGGTTCTAGTGAAATACTATGTGTGAAAAGGCTCTGAAAAGTCTAGTTTTAACTGGTGAGAAGTGAGCACAATATAAGTTTTAACTGAGTTCATATGGATAAACACATAAATAAAATCCTGTCCGTGGGGGTTTAATGGAGGAAGTAAAATCTGTATTTGGTACTTAAAACGTTTCTGGGCTAGTTTCCGTGTTTTTCTAGGTTAAATATACAGTATTTATAGTATTCATGAATTTAGAGCATAAACAAGAAATGTGAGAGAAAAAACACATTTGGAAATTGTTAAACAGTAAGTTACTTGGAGATAGGGACAAGTTCTGTCTGTATGACTGAGAGCCGGTAAAGTACGAAGCGCCTTCGGTCTTAGAGAGCTGTCTGCCTCCCGCCTGAGACTCTTCCTTCTAAAGCTTGTTTATCGTCTGCTTCTCTTGCTCTGGCCGCAAGGGAGCCTCTTTAAGACTCAGGTCTGCCAAGAGACCTTGCTTTTGTTCTACAGCGCCTGTTTTAAATTTCACCCTTCCCTGGAGGCCTTTCCCTAGTAAGTGAAAGTGAGACGTAGAATCTGCCCTCTGTGCCACAGACAGCAGGAGAACGCCGGGAAGCAAGACCTCGGAGTGACAAGATGGAGATCACCGTCTGTCAGTCTGCTGTCCACTAACTAGCTTGTAAGCTCCTCGCGGGCAGGGACTGGCCTCTGCTCGGGGCCGTTGCAGCACCTCAGATAAGAGTAGTCGATCTGTGTCATTTTGCGATGTTGTTTATTTTGAAGTATGTGTCAGCTGTGTACAAAGGAACCCAGTCCGCTGGCCGATGTTTGATGTTGTCCTTTTGTTTCTGTCTCAATGGTGTGCCTCCAGCACTAGTCACAGAAGGGACAGAAGGAAGAGGCTGTTGGGATGTGGATCCCGGGATCCAGGGTGTGGTAACCGACTTGGCGGTCTCTGATGCAGGGGATAAGGTATCGTTAACTGATTTGTCAGTAAACAGCTCCTGTTACTTTGTGTAATGAAATATTATAGCCTCCGGTCCCCGTCTGTCAATGGCAGTGAGTGGAGTGAATGAGCACTTCTGAATTGTTCTCAATTAATTTAAACTTTCATATTTATATTTCCGATCTGATTTCTTCTTCAAATGTTCTCGCTTTTCCTGTGCCGTGTAGGTGTAAACAAAGAAACAATTGCAAATTTATTAAAAAAAAAAAAAAAGATTTAAAGCTCTTCTGTGTATATGTGTGTCTGCGCTCTCTGACTTCTGGCCTTTCTTCGCCCTGCAAACCTTTCTTTTTACTCGAACACGTTAGGCAACTCTGGTTGGGTGATCCTGGGCAGATCCTAAAGCAACCAGATGGTGCCAGCACCATCGAAACACGCTTTACTTTGTAATATTCTCGCTACTTTAACCTTCCTTGACCTTCCTCTCTGTTCAAGTTACTTTCCTGTCACCACCCACAGTTCATTACTTTTTCGTGGTACATTTTTAATTAACCTGATCAATTTTTACTTGGGGCAAAATGATTACAAATGCTATACTATATACATAAGCTATAACTCTCTTTTTAAAAATTAAAGCATAAAACTCTACTAACTTCAAGTGAAATTGAGATGTCAGACATAGGGAAGGAATAAAAAATATCCGGAAAGTGGCTAGTCAGCTTCCTTGGGATTTTCTGAAGCTCGAGAGTTTGGCTTCCTTTAAAGTTGAATCAGGTTCATTACTAGGTATCAATCTATGTCGATGAAAAAATGACTTGTCAGACCTTCTTTTATATGCATGACATATTTTATATATATTTCTGTATATGTTACATATAACTGAGAAACCAGATCCAAAGGTTTTTAAAAATCCAATGACAAGGTAGCTGTGATAGACTACTCTTTTGAAAACTTCATAGGCCAAATAAATAAAGGAATATAATATTTACTTCACTTATTCTAATTGTAAGCTTTTTAACTTATTCTTTCTTAAAATGTTCCTGCTTTTCATCCTTCTCAGCATAAACTTCACTTTTAAGTCTGAGGTTTGTAGCTTTCAGTTACACTTAGGTTATTAGAAAAGAAAGGAAGCGGGACCAGCAGATGGTATAATGGTGGTTATGTCACTAGACTCCCATGTAGTTGACAATGGTTCAAGTCCTGGACCTGGCAACTTAAAACTCATGCCGGGCATGTGCGTGCATGCCCAAGATCCCGAGAGGAGAACAGAGGAGAAGGGATTGTGGTGTGGCCATCCCCTGGGGGGTGATTTCTCACTTTCTTATCTCTCCAGTGAGTGCATGGGTCCTGTAGCAAAAAAAAACAACAACAAAAAAAAAACCAAAAAAACAAACAAAAAAAAACTTTATAAGAAAAAAAAAGGACAGAAGAGGTGGTCAGTAATAGTTTAATCTTAAGTGGAAAGTACTGCTGACTCCTACCTCCAAAGCCTTTCTCTGCCATGATTTTAGTCACAGGTGAATAAGTGAGTCTTTAGAGTCCTCTGGATTAATCTGTCTCGAAGATTTTGCCCTTATGAAGTCTTTTTTAGAAACTAAACTGAAATACAAGGAAAGGCTGCTTAAAATAATACTCTTTAAAAGTGCAGAATGGATTTTTTGTCATTATCTTTAATAAGGTAAGGTTAAAACAAATTTCTGAAAGAATTTTTTAAAAATATGTACCTGACAGAAATGCTCCATGTAAAGCACCAACTGCAGTTGCGCACACTGACCACAAGGTGGTGGACCAACTCCATTAAAAAGATTATGTGACTTTTCTTTGTCTTGTGTCAAACCTGGTGATTCTTGAGTGTAAGTAACCACATGCAGCACAATCCACTTGATTTCTGTGCTTCTCATTTTTGTAGAGCATAGAAGTTCTATACAGTATAGAATGTGGATGGGCAAGGATAGAACCGGGAGAGCAGTGCAAACTCCCAAACTCACTGTATAACTCTACAACAACTCACTCTTAACCCTGCTGTCTTCCACAGGACTGGGCACAGATCTAATGCCTTTAAACTTTATCTCCATTTTTTTTTTTTTAGAAGTCTTTGCCTTTTCTCTGTTAGAGGTACCTTGAAGTAATGAAATCTCTAATTGGCAGTATAAGGAAAGAAGAGCTCTGGCTAGCTTATCATGGCACCATCAGCCTGAACTGATGTGTTTAGCAACAAGTTCAAAGTTACCTGAGGACATTACTTTAGCAGACTGTTTTTACAGCTTAAAATTTTATCTGCTCACACAAAAGCAAACAGCATGAAGGAGACTGTAGGCTCTTGGAAGATAGGATATCTGATGACCTCCCATAGCACAAAGTCCATAGTGGGTAATCAATACTTATTTATTGAATGGAGTGCAGTTAAATTCAACTTACAGTCATGCATTTGTTGAGTGTCTGTTATATTCCAGGCAGCTTTCTTAGGTTGGCAAATAGAGCACTGAACTCGCAGATGAAGTCCTGCTTCTCCTGACTTATATCATAGACAGACAATAAACGACAAGACAGCTGCTGAGTTCAGTTCCAGGAACTGGATACCCTCACTGTCTTCGTGTGCCCCTAATGTGTATGTGGGAAGAACAAAGAATGAGGCATAGACCTGTCCCCAGAAAGCAGATGGTCTGCTGACGCCGCATTCATGTCCTCTGTTGAGAGCACTTCTGCTAAGACAGTCATTGATCCAGTGAACTCTGGTGGTGGTAGGATCTGGAGCAGGCCAGCCCAGTGTTCCCTTAGGGCCATCACGAGGTCTGTTTTTTCTTCCCAATCACTGGCCATTATGGCATTATCAATCTCAAGCATTGAGTCATGCATTAGGGGCCAGGCAGGATGTTCTTTAATTTCCGCATTTGGCCTCTAGGATACAAGAGGTCAGCTTGGCCCAGGAGATGGCCTCAACCTGAGCACAGGTAACTCAGTTTACAGTGTGATTTGCACATGGTCAGTATTGTCACTGACTTTTTAGGGTTTCTTTACTGTCATTGTTTGTGGTTTTAAAGGACGATTGGGTAAAAACTGCTGTGCATCTTAAACAGCAAGTCTGCATGCAGGAAGCTCTTGTGGTCAAGTGGTTGGTTAATTCGGTAGGTTTTTATTTGGGGGAGAAAACAGAGTCATTATATCTGAGGCTAATCAAGATTAGAGAGAGTGAAGTGATTCACTCAAGGTCATATGTTTTAGAACATTACAGTGCAGCATTTCAGAAGTAGATTGGTTATTCATTTTTTGATACGTTTTATGTATTTTAGGTGGAATATAGAAGTTTTCCAGGTTCTTCCCAGTCAGAGGTGAGCTTTACGTACCTTAAATATGTCACCTTCTTCTCTTTATTTGTGGGTAATGAAAACTTTTTCAAGAATTTGACACCTACACAATCTTATTTTTCAGATTATACACGCTATCCAGAATTTAACCCGTCTCTTATATAGCCTTCAGGTAACTACTTTCCTCTAAATTTTGACCTTGTGAATGTTTCATTCAATACATTTCACTTTGATGATTCCCAGACTTTAAAAAGTGAAGTATCTGAGAGGTAGTGAATGATCTTAAAAGAATGCCAACCCACTAAGTGTAACTCAGCTAGATGTGTGGAACTTCGCCTGGTTTTGTAATCATGAAGCAACACCACTACTCCGTTTTATACCATTCTTCTCGGAAACCATAAAACAGTTCATATCTTTAAGAAATATTGATGAATATGCTTTGGCTTGACGTTCACAATGAAATTTGTTGGTGAGTGTTGCATGACTTCACATTTTCTGGTGAAAACTTGAATTCACACCTACATGTGTTTCACTTCCACATGTGGCCTTGGGCCTTTAGCGCTTTTAAACAATTCATATGCTCCTAGTTCTCTGTTGTTGTTCATCCACTCGGCATTTATTGAGTGCCCTCTCAGGTGCTGAGGGCTGGGCACTCAAAGGCAAATGGCTCACAAAGCCTGCTCTCAAATGGTTTACTATCTTTCAAAGGAAAATAGGTATAAAAATTGCACTTGCATTTTGGATTAGAGGGCTGGATAACCCCTTAGGCCATGCGCAAGAAAGAGACTCAGTGTATCCAATTGCCTACTTTACTGCTTAAACATATTTTAAATCATATAAAAGCAATGTTGACATTGTAGAAAAGTTTGTAGAAATATTTGAGAAAATAAGTAAATAAAGTCAAATGACTTATGAGTCTACAGAGAACATTACTATTGGTGTGTGTCCCTCCAGGTTTTCAAATGATTTTATATATGCTCTTCTGTAGCATATACCATTCTACATCAACTATTCTACAGCACAGTGTTTAGTGGTTGATGGATACTCAATACTCAAGTCTGGGAAACTTATTTATCCAGTCTCTTCTTGTTTACACTTCGGTATTAATAATACCAGAGAAGACATCTCTGTCTGCTAATCTCTATAAACATTTTTGAGGGTTTCCTTAGAATAAATAATAGATTCTTTTTAGTTTTATTTTTATTAGATATTGACAAAATAATCAATACAATGAATTCTCTCTTCTTCATTTGAAAATGGATCAAATGATCTGATTCTTTTAATTTACATTTCTTTATTATTGGGAAGACTAAATTCTTTCCCCAATGGTTCATTTATACATGCTTCTTATTTTTATGTGCTGAATGCTAAAAGAAAATAAAACTAAATAGAAAATGTAACATCATCTTGCATTTGAAGTTTTCTTTTTTCTACTTTGATTATATCAAGACTTCTCTTTTGTTCTGTCGGTTACCCACATGGTCTTGCTCCAGTACCACTTTGTTAATTATTAAAGCTTTGGAATACATTTGAACATATGATAGTACTAGATTTTATGTTCTGCCGGAAAGCATTGTAATTGTCTTCATATAGGTTGTATATGTGTGTGTATGTTTTTTGCTAAGCTCATTCCTATGTCTCTTTGTTGCTCTTGCAAATTAAAAAATTTAAATTATGTTTCCCCAATGGCCATTGTGGTTATAAATAAAAGTATTCATTTTAATGGGCTTATTTGTAACTAGCCAACTCACTGAAATTTAGTTTTGGCTTTGATCGTTTTTTCATTGATTCTTTGGAGTATTCCAGGTAGAAAGTAAAGTGAAGTATTATGGCTATTCTCTAGTAATTATATCAGTTTCATTTTCTTGGCGTACTTCTTTGACTTGTTCTTCTGAAAATATTTACATTACAGTGTTGCTAGTAAGCTCACTATGTTGATCAAGATTTAGTAGGAATGCCTTTAGGGTCTTATGTTAGATGTGTTGGTCTGAGGTAGATTTTCTTAGAGATCAATTTATCATGTAAAATAAATATTCTTTTACACATCAGTTGATACGGGATATAGTTTGAATCTAGTCTGTTTATTCTTGGAGGATGAAAATATTGAGATTTTGGCTTGTGTTCCCTGATAAAAACATCCCCAAGATCATATTTCTTTTCTTTTCTTTTGACCTTATATGTAACCCTGTGTGGATTTAAAGTTCAGGAAAGCCTTGTGGTATAAAGGACCTAATTTTTTCAGCACATTAGGTTGAAGCAACTTTGGGCATATCAAAGTCTAAGTAGAGTCTTTTAAACTAACCAAAGTTTCTGAGCTGGTCTGAGAATACGGGTTCTCAAAAACTTCTGTACATGGCATAGACATCTTTGAAGCTGAATCTCTTATATGTGATAGAAGTTTTTACATAAGAGTTGAATCAGATAAAGATGAAGTTTGATCCTTATATTAAACAAGTTGAGTTACTGATGAAGTATAGATAAGGCAAAAAGGAAAAGACATAGAGACATTCTAGCAAAGTACAGTTAAGAGAAAGAATGAATTGGGAATTTCCCTAAACTTGAAAAGGAAATGCTATTCTCTGTCCTAAACATAAATATAAAAATTAAGTGTGGAAATTAATATCTAATCTTCAAATCTCACCTTTATGTTAGGGAAGAGAATGGTCTTATTGTAGATGTTAAGTAGACATGAAAAACACTTCATGATACAGCACTTCCTTATTCTAACTATAATTCTTAAACAAGTTATTGCCTGAGCTAGGTTGGACATGTAAATATTGAGTCTTCCTTTGTTCTACTGTACTGATGCCCTTAGGATTTATTAGAATTCAGAGACAATTTACAGTCTACACTTTGCTCTAGCTGGATCAGCAAAGTCCTGAATGATTTATTATTGTGTACTAATTATTTCATATATAAAGATCACCACAATTAATATCGTATTCTCAGTGCTAATTATTGTTCTCTTTATAAGAACCTCTAACAGCCATTAATCAAATATTCAGATGAGTCTGAAATGTTTAAAATTACTTTTCAAATGTAAAATATGAATTTTATTTCTAAAAGCCAAATGAATACATTTTTGAATCTTGGTCTACGATGAATATGAATTTAAAATATACTTCAGCTTTTTAACTACAAGGGTATAGAAAACTGCTGATCTAACAAAGAACTGATGGTCAAATCTCCATCTTCCCAACATCTGTTACAAGAATAGTTGAACAAATTTTTAGGAAGGAAAATGTGAATTTATCCCTGGGAGAGCAATGATTTCTCATACTGAGTCAAAACATACACACATACCCAGTGTGTGTCCATTTTCAATTTGTCCCTTCTGTACTTCTTTGCACTATAAATGGAAAGTTTTAAAATTAAAAGCTTTCAAGGGCATTCACAGAATTTTTTTTTTTTTTTGTGGAGTCATTCCAAATCTTGGCAATTATTTCCTGTGATGCTGCCAAACTTTTCATAGGCAGATATTGTAATTCAAAATGTTTTTAAAATCTGGTTGGCAATGTCCCCTGGGCTTTGGAGTACCTGTTTTCCCTTCATCATTCCAGTCTCCGGTTAGCAATCTATTAAACAAATGAATTTCAGCTTTGTTTTTGTATGTGTGCCTTTCCTGTTGTAACACAAAGATATAACAGTAAGGAGACTAGCTTTGGCCACTTACTTATCACCCCAAAAATGGCATTCACTGCTATTCTCTGAATACTACATAACACATAACTGCATTATGTTCTAAAAAGATTATTTACCAAAAGTCTCCAAAGAGTTGGCTTTTATATCTTCCTGAAAGCAGTGTAGCTCTAGTGTTTTCTGACTTGGGATTCAGATAAAGGATACCACAAAGTTTATAAAAATTCTGAAATTACTATTGACTGGTGAGACCTCAGAAAAACAATAGATTGTAGGGTCTTACAAGTTTATGAACTGAGTTCTTATTCAGAATATTTGCTTAAATATTATCCAACAACCAGCGAGAAGCCACATTTCTACTAAAGGGGATATGTATTGCTTTTGAACTTTACTTGTTTTCTATGTAAACTCCTAGGTCATAATACTAGAAGACATACACAAGCCTGTTTGCCATACCAAAGTCTACCTCTGGAGGTAACTTAGAAAAGGGGCAGAAAGAGTAAGAGAAAATAATTTGTGTTTAGAGCTTGTTCCAGCACAGAGGACAAACATGATGGCAGCCCATATTTCTCTCTTTGCCCTTTCTTCTGCTCTGACAGGCTGCTTTAACCATTCAGGACAGCCACATCGAGATCCACAAACTTGTTCTCCAGCAGCAAGGGAGCCTGTCCCCCGGCCATTCTTTTCGAGGTAGCTCCTTTCCGGACCAGGAGAAGTCCCGCAGCCTGGAGAAGCAGCGCGAGGAGCTGGCCGACATCCACAAGCTCCAGCAGCAGTTCCAGCAGGAGCAGCGGCGCTGGCACCGCAGGTGTGACCAGCAGCAGCGGGAGCAGGAGGCACAGGAGAGCTGGCTGCAGGAGAGGGAGAGAGCCTGCCAGTCACAGGAGCAGCTGCTGCTGAGAAGCCGGGGAGAGCTGGCCATTCAGCTCCAGGAGTACCAGCAAAACCTGGAGCGGCTGAGGGAGGGCCAACGGATGGTGGAGATGGAGAGGGAGAGGATGCGGGCCAAGCAGAGCTTGCTGTGCCACTGGAGACACAGTCGGCAGAGGAGCCTCCCTGCAGCTTTTCCTCCAGGAAGCAAGGAGGTAGGCATCTTCTGGAGTGACAGAAGGCAGCTTCTCCAAGACAGGTTTAGTCCTAGTTGCTCCTGGGGCATTCACCAGATGGTTGTTTCTTTCCGTCTTGTTTGTGAGCTCATGAGAGTTCCTCAATTTGGGGCCAGCCCACGGCCTGCTGGTTAAGGAGCTGGATCCCACATGGCCAACCCCCTGGTTTGAGTTTTGGACCCGGTAGGTTGAGAAACATACTGGGTGTGTGTTTGTGCAGGCCCAAAATCATGAAGGAGGGAGAGATGGAGGAGAAGGGATTGCTCCATCAGGGGTGTTTCCTCCCTCCCCTCCCCCCACTTCTGGTCAGTGCACATGCTCTCTAGGAAATTAAAAAAAAGTTTCTCAGTACGTGGGTAGCAAAAGCTGGAATCTTCATATGAATGTTGACTTAACATATGGAACTTAAAAGGTCTAGGTCATTGGATCGTTGTACTCTGAGACACACTTATCTAACAAAGGAACACAGAATCAAGGGTTGGGTTTGTCCTGGAGGACTGAATTTAGCAGGTATAGTCATGTATTGCTTAACGGTGGTGATGTGTCTAAGAAATAGGTCATGAGGTGATTTTGTCATCGTGCAAATACCAGAGTGTACTTACAAAAACCCAGATACTGCAGCCTACTGCATACCTAGGCTATGCGGTATATAGCCTGTTACAATCTTATGCCATCAGTAGTTGACCAAAACACTGGCATGCAGTGCATGGTTGTATAATACTCTTCTATGATGCCAAGTTTAGTCTCTCTTTGTAAATTTGATATGGTAAATACAAAGTCCATTTTACAAATAATAGTTCATGTGAATTATGCTTCTTAATGACAGAGTTGTATGAAACCTTTCAGGAGATTCAGTGTTCTCTTTGCATCCTCTCTAACCATGTTTGATGATTCCATTTGTCTCAGTTTATTTTTATGTGCTACTTGCATATGTGCTTTTCATTGATAGTACATAACATTGTGAAAGTTGATACATTTATAGAAATACCTGTGTTGCATCTGATTTTCCTATCAAGTTGGCTAAGTTATTTATTGAAAATTCCTCACATATTTATGGATATGTTGACAACTTTTTTGTTTATCGAAAGTAGAAGTGCTACTTTCTTTTATTAAAATAATGTGGAAACACCTTAATGGCATAGAACAGTACTACTTCTTGTTTGTTTGCTTGTTTTGTTTTATAAATAAGTACTATGTAGAGAATTGAAGTTTTTAGTACTAGCTCATTAAAAGGAAATGGGAAGAGAGTAAATGGCAACATTCTTTTCAACCTCTTATTCAAAACCTTCGTTGCTAGATTCTATTAGAAATAAACATGAAATTTGTGTAAGTGCTGGAGAAACTATTGTACTTTTTCTACATTTCTTTACACAGGTGATAGAACTTAATCGATCCGAGAGTTTATGTCATGAAAATTCCTTCTTCATCAATGAAGCATTAGTACAGATGTCACTTAACACTTTCAACAAACCAAATGCAGCAGGTATCCTTCAGGATGCTACTTACCCCTCAAATATATCGAATTCGGATGTGGTAAGGACTAGTGAAAATCAAGTAGACCTCAAGAGAGATGTTTCTCAGCCCTTGGATGTCAACCATGAACTGTGGACAGTCACTGAGCCCTGTCATCAGATATTTCCTCTCCATGAAAGCAGCAAGGATTCTTGTAAAAATGGTAATTAACCCTTTAAACAGCATCTGTGTATTTTTCAGCAAAAAGTTGTTTCTCTGAATGGCTGGCTCTTCTGTGAGCAGAAAAGTCAGCCCTAGAATGGGAATAAATTAGTGCTGATGAGCTGGAATTTTTGGCATAAACTTTTCTTTGGGGAAGTCTGGGAACTGCCTTTGCTTATAAGTATCTAGATCGTGATTGGAAGATGTAGGGAGTATGACCAACATGATAGAACTAGACAGGGTTTTCAGGACTCTGAATTAAATGATAGTGCCTGTCTCTGTAAAAGTGAAGCAACGTGATAGTGCCTCCCCATCCCAGCCTGCTATATCCTGATGTACATGGCCAATGACGTTTAGACATGAAAGGTATGGACAGGGTCTGTGGTAGGACTTTCTTGTCTACCCAGGCAGTTTCCTGTAACATTAGTGAAATCTTTATACTACCACTAAACACCCAAAATGAAACTGCTAACATCATTTGTCATTGTAAAAAAAAGTGTTGTCTCTCCATAAGTACCTCGTAATAACACAATTTGCTAATCCCATTAAAGCATTTGCCCAATATAAATGAAAGGCAGCTCAAGTTACCGACTCCACATGAATCCAAATGATTTAAATCTTTGTCTATTATAAATTGTTTTCAGGGGGATATGAGGTAGGGAATGAGAAGAACTTGAAACCTCTCTACCGAAAAACAGATGGTATGCAATAGAATAAACAAATGGCTGGCCACATGGATGTGAAATAAATCACCGACAGTAAAATGTTTCAGAAACATAAAACAAGTCATAGTACAGAGATCTTCGAAACTGGACACAGATTTATTTCCATATATATGTGTGTGTGCATACACACACACACATACACACACACACACACACACTCTTTATTTGTTAAGGGAGGGTAATATTTTAGCAACAAAAAATTTTGAAGGTATTCGGCCTCTTCCAATCAGAGAGTAGTACTTCTGACACTGCCTGTTAGTTGATTTGTTTCTAATCCAAAAGATGTTGATTCTAGTGGTGGCTAATTCTTTACCTCACTTAGTCACTGCGGTACCATTTTCATTTCTTGTCAGCATACAAAAGAGAATGAAATAGTTCTCAAAAGTATAATTTTCAATGTTATTTAAATAAAAAAGAAAAAATATGTAATGAAATAGTTTGGGTTCCTTTAATATATTATGTTGCAACTTTAATACCATGGGTACCACAGTACAGAATGCTTTTTGTAGGCACGGGTTGCTTTAGTGTGTTGATTCGTTAACTTGCTGTTTACAGAGCTTTATATGTTTTTGTCCGTGTGGTTTTACATACTGCTTTTGGTATAATTCAGATACTCAGTTTGAGTTAAACCACATTGAGCTTTTATTTAAAAGAAATATTTCTCTTTTGCTTTTTGTGTATCTTCTATCTTTTTCTATTGACTTGTGCTTCCGAGAAGAAAGCTTTTAAACCTTTGGCAGCATATTTGCAGTAGATAGAAAATGTACTAAGGAAATAAACAATAATTTTACATAAAACCAGTCTATCCACATGCAAGGAATTAGATATAAACAAAGGGAATGCTGAGAAAATGTACTTATGTGTGAGAAATTTTATGGCCAGTATAGACTGAGGTCATCCATAAGGATATTGACAGGAGAAAGGAAAATCATAAATCTCTCAGGAACATCCTGGTGTGCATAAGTAGGGATTAGATCGGAAATGCTGTGTGCACTGTTAACCACTGAAGTTTTACAGCTCATCTGCAAACTCTGTTTATGTTTGTTTTCTTAAACATGAAAAGCAATTTTTGGAGGAGTGAAAAGAGGGTCAGGGAATAGCAGGGGATAGAGAAGTGGTTGCAAATGGGATGTGTATTCTTAAGACAGTGGTCAACACCAGATAAAATTGTTCATGCCACTCCAAAGCTTTCACAGCTGCTGGTGTTAAAAATAGCACAAACCCAGCTGCTGGTGGCAGTCTTAGCAAGGCTCTGTGGGAGTGGTCCATGCCTGCTCTTGAAGGGCTCTGATTGAGTGGGCTGTATGGAGGAGTCAGGCCCCAGGGCGTGCTGGGTGGTGAAGGGGTGGTCAAGGTGTGAGAGTCAAGGACAATGCAGTGTTGTTGTCCCCCCTCCCTTCAGGTTTTGCTGCTGAATCTTTGGTGACCACTACTGAGGACCAGATAGTTCACAGTATTCTGGCTGGCAAAATTTGCCTATGATACTCTGGGTTGGCATTTTGTTGACTGTGCATTTACCATAATTTAATTAAGGCTGTGCTGACCATTTTATCACTAGGCCATAGGATCAGCTGTTTAAAGATTGGTTTGTTCTTTGCCTGGTCTGATGCTGTTTATAGATGACCAGCTTAGATCAGTGGACATGTGAATTTCTGGAACAGCAAGACTGATGGAAAAAATTCCATGTCAACCAATTCTTGAATGTCTTAGATGTCGCTTAGATTGGAATGTTCATTGATTTGTTCAGTCCAACTTCATCAGACTCATTGATGCATTCTCTGGGTTCTTTGTGATTGGTTTTCCAATTGCTCCGCTCCCACCCCAGCACCAACAACTCTCTGATACTTATCGAATTCCAGGCACCGTGCTAAGGTTTTATATGGAGAAGCTCATGTGGTGTTCATACTGACCCGCTGAGCTAGTTCTATTATCTCCATTTCAGAGGTGCAACAGACACAGAGGGGTTAAGCAATTTGTTCAAGGTCACACAGGACCTGGAATTGAACCTGGGAAGACAGGCTCTTGGAGCTATGCTCTCAATTATTACACTATAAATTGTTAAGTTTTAGAAAGCTGTTGCACTTTTTAAAGAAGTTGATGTAGATGCAGAATTAATCTTTTTGTAATGCCTAATAGGATGTTCATGACTAAGGGCCTCCCCCTCCCTTTCTCTCTTTTTCATATTATCATTTGGAAAACATTTCTACATGTTTTGGATTGCTGTGGTCAGCTCTGACATGGGACTTGACAGTCTTTAGATAACATAAATACCCTTGAGCATCATTTTTTTTTCCCATAAGGCACATTTTCTTAAGAATATTTTGTTTCTCTAACATTGCCTAATAATAACTCTATTGTTAACTTCATTATTTTTGAAGCTAGCATTTTCAAAAACTTTATTCTCCAGCATTAGAAGTGATTTAGGGGGACCAGCAGATGGTGTAATGGTTATGTCAGTGGACTCCCACATAGTCAATTCCAGGACCCCGTGACTTGAAACTCACGCCAGGCAAGTGTGTGTGTGTGTGTGTGTGTGTGTGTGCACGTGTGCCCAAGATCCTGAGAGGAGAATGGAGGAGAAGGGATTGCAGCATGATCATCCTCCCTGGGGAATGTTTTCTTGCTTTCTGTTTCTCTGTCTCTCCAGAGATCTCATGCTCCCTATAGCAAAAAAATCTTAGAAAAATGATTTTTGAATGAAATTCTTAGGTGTTTGAACATTAAACCCAAATTGGTATTCAATTTTATTTATAGTGAAGGAGCTGATTGGTTTAAGAACTTTATCTGTACTCCTATGAAAGCTACCCCCCCAAGACTACAGAAAACTTGAATTTTTAAAAACAGTGATGTCTCTGTTGGACAATTTCTGTGTAATTGGTTCTATGTGATGCTCAAATGCAGTACTCTTAAAGAGAGAAAAAATAAAATTATTCCTGTGATTTTTTTTTTCTTCTAGTCTTAAAACCCCAAAAGTATGCATCTACTAGTTTATACTATTTGCCTTTTTTGCTAATCAATGGAGAAAACATTTTATGGCAAGATCATCTGAAATTGCTTAGTCTTTTTCAGTTACATTTTTATCTGCACCTTGGCACTTGCAGATTGCCTGGATGTCTCTTCAACGCAGTTTAAGTGTAATGATTTTTCCATGCATATAAAGTTTAAATCAAAAGCCAAATATACGTGTCAATCATGTAGAAAAGCTCAGGTTCCAAGGGAATTTTCTTTTTAACACTTATCAAAGCATATATTTTCAGCAATATATTTTCAGAATTCAAAGCATTGTACTCAGAGTATCTCATCTTGGAAATTAAAAAAAATATATATATATAGATAGATAGATAGATAGATAGCTGTGTTAAACTTTCAATGACAGGTTTCTTATGTTAGGCAAGAAAATAGTTTCCAAATGAAAAGTTATGCTGTAGTTAGTATTTAAGTAACTTTCTTTAAGAAGTGAGAATATGGTCATTTCTAATGTTCTAAAAATATTCTATAATTCAGAAACTGGCACCTTATTTGCGTAATTCATATGGAAAAAAAACTTTGCCAAGAGGCTTCAGGCAATTCGCATAAAACCCAAACTGGGGTAAGACTCCTAAGCTTCAACAACAAAGGAGTATTTGAAGGGAGAGACTCATGAGTTTTCTCAGGCTGCCCTACAGGGTACCACAGACTGAGGGCTACAGAAATATGTGTACTTCCTCACAATTCTGGAGCTTGGAAATGGAGACCAAGATGTTGGCAGGGTGAGTTTCTTCTGAGGCCTCCCTCTTGGCTTACAAATGACTGTCTTCTCCCTTTGTCTACACGTGGTCTTCCCTGTGTCCCAGTCTCCTTGTTATATGGACACTGGTCATATTGGATTAGGACCTACCTCTTTAAAGCTCTGTCTCCAAATAGATTTCAAAGTACTGGAGTACCTCAAATGTGAATTTTGGAGGGACATAATCCAACCCTTAATGGGACAAAATGATTATTTTTCTTACCACAATAGTTTTAGATATTATGGAAATCTTATTTATTTATTTATTTTAAAGTACCAAAGTTAAGGCCAGGAGATGGTGTAGTGGTAAAGTGCTGGACTCCCACATGGCCAACTGCAGTTCAAGTCCTGAAACTGGTAGGTTGAAAATCTCACTGGGCACATGTGTTTGCATGGCCAAAATTCCAAGAAGAGACTGGAGGAGAAGGGATTATGGCATGGCCATCCCTGCAAGGGGTCATTTCTCATTTTTCCTCTCTCTGTCTCTCCTTTTTTTCTCTCTCTCCAGTG